TATTATATGTACCTAGTATTATATAAATTTAATAAAGATCATGCAAAACTGCCACACTTCAAAAAAAAAAAAAAAAATTCGCCAGAATATAATTCAAGATTTGGGCTATAAAACAAGTACAAGATCATGTTTCTAGCATTTGTGGTTGATAAGTTATAACCGTTCAAAGGTAACCAATCACACTTGCATTTCTTTTGTGGGCCACTGTATATGCAAATCAAATATATGAGTTTATGCAAGTCATTTTTGAAACTTTAGTTTTATTTTACCTTTTATTTTATTTTATATTTTTAAATAAAGATTTCTAATTAAAAAATAAATAAATAAATATAAATTATTATTGATTTATCATTATTAAATAAATTTTTATATTTAATTAATATAATTTTAATTATAGTATTATACAAAAGAAAATATAGATGATAATGATCAAAATGATGATATTAATCATTAGAAAGTCATATATATCTTATATGTTTTTTATGTCATTTATGATATATATTTCTTTTATATAATATATTTTATTTATTTATTTTATTTTATTTATGCTATATATTTATTATATATTTATTTTATATATTATATTTATTTCTTTTATTTCTTTAATAACTTTATTTATTTATTTTATATAAATAAAGGACAATTTTTTTAGCTTAGTAGTATGTTAGATAGATAAATATAAGATAGTTTAGTTTAATTCTCTTAATATACTTATATAGTATAGAGCATTGACTGAGATAGTACACTATTGTTATTATTATTAAATAAACTATTAATTGATCAACACTCTTCTAAAATTAATTATAAAAATAAAACTTCTGCTTACTATTCAAATATTGTTTCACTTATCATTTATAAGCAACCTAAAAAACTAACTGTAACAATAATATTAATTTATTTTTACTGATTATTAAATTAAGAATTTTACTATTAAATTAAATTTTTATTTATTTATATTTTTATACATTTTAGTTAAAATTGCTAAATGAAACTTAGAAAATTTATAAAATTCAAAAAAGGTAAAATATATCAAAATGTAAAATTATATTTAAAATATAATAAAAAAAATTAGTAAATCTCAAGGTTTAAACATTTTGTCAAATCTAAAATAAGCAATCTTAATATTAATTAATTTCTTTAATACTTTTACTGATTTGCATTTTTGATCTTTTAGTTATTACTGTAATTTTTAAATTTAAATAATAAGATTTAAATTATAATATAATTTTTTTTTCATATTTTAATATATTTATAATTAATAACACTTTTATTTTTTTGAAACTACTTTAAAAGATAAGTTACATATTAAATATTTTAATTTAAATGTTAAAATTATAGATATTAATTTTATTTTCAGAAATTTAAATATTAAAATTATAGGTTTTTATGTTAAGAATCTGATCTTTATTATAATTACAAGAACTAAAATTTGTGATTAAAAGAAATTATAAAATAATTTATAAATATAATTTAATTATAATATTTTTATATAATAAATAAAATTTTAAAGTTATTTTAAATTGAATAAATTTAAGAAAAAAAATAAGAAATTTAAAAGACTTTTATATTTATGTTAAGATTTTTTATTAAAATTTTAAATAAGTTATGAATAGCAATCTATATGATTTAAGAGAAAGAGAAATATTAATTATAATGAAGAATGTTTGTTAATGAAGCAATGTGAATATACTATACTTTTTTCAGATAATTCAATATTATATCTATTGTCAATAAATAACTTGTTTAATAAGAAAAAGAGTAAAGACAAAAATGAGAATGATAATGTTAATATAATAATTAACAATGTTGATAAACTTTGCTTTAAGGATAGGGATTCAATAAATAATTTTAAAATAAAAGATACTAATATTTCTTAATTATTTCAGAAATATCAAAATAAATCAGTAAATATTGTAAAGATTAAAAATTAATTTGTTAAATCAAATGTACACAAAATATTGTCATTGTTTTTTGATTTTTTTGTTTGCTTCAGATTCTTATTCAAATATGATAATCAATATATTTAATTCTCCTTTACTCAATTTATCAATAAATTGCTTTAGTATAATAAATAGAATAAGTTTAGAATGTGCAAATAAAAAAATAGAGTAAAAAATTAAAATCTGTTAAGATATAATATATTATTATTAATTAATATAAAGTTAATTTATAGAAAATGATTTTAATACACATATATTTAAAGAAATTTGAATTTAATACTATTGATAATAAAGGCCAATTTTTTATTCAATCTTAATAACATATACTATTGATCTTAAAATAAAATTTTTTTTTACAAAATATTATTAACTTTTCAAATATCTATATTAATATCTAATTCTTTTATCATAAAATTTTATTATATTTTATGTGCTATAAAAAATATATTTAAGGTTTTATAAAAAGTATTTTTATTTTTTTCTAATATTACAATTCTTTGATAAAATGAAAATAATAGTAATATTATAATTCAAACTGATAAAAAGTTATAATAATGTAATTAAAAGAAATAATAAAGTTTGATTAACCTTTGTGTTAATCTTATTTAAATAATTTTTTAATTAAGATATATTAAACTATTCTTAATTACGAATGAATGATGCTTTTTTTAAAATTTATAATTTGAAGCAATTAAGCTAAACTTACCTTAAATTTTTTTAGGTTGTAAATATTTATTGCAAAATATACTTTTGTTAGTTATTTATTTTATTTAATTAATTTAATATATAGAGTAAGAAAAAAATAGGCTAGTTAATACATTTATTCTCAAATTTTTCAGCATTAAAAAATATTTTTTCTTTTTATTTTTTAAAGAAAAAAATTTCATATATTTAAATTTGTCATATATTATAAAATAAATGTATTTGTAATTATTCTATAATTTGTTAATCAGATTTATATCTTTTAGCTAAAATATTAGATAGATCAAAATTTACTAACATGAGAATTATTAAGATTTTCAATTGATCAGCTTTTCATGATATAATTCTTATAATGATTAATTCAATTTATATAGAATAGAGTTTCGCAAATAAGTTAGTTATTATTTCTCTTTTTACATATTATAAATGTTTGCCTTTTAATGAACTCTGATCATCATCGTTTAAGTAAGTCTTCAAAAAGTTTGCTGATTCAGATTTTATGATATTATTAAGATGTAGAATATCAAATCTTTAATTCTTTACAAAGCAGGTTATTTTATAGTATTTGTCTAATTTACAATAAGGTATTCAAAATTGATTGATGTAAAATTTTGATGCATTTGTGATTAACTAATTAATTATTATTTTTTTAATGCATAAAATTGAATAAAATCAATATATATTTTGATGTATTTTTAATGAAATTGTATTTTTAAAAAATAAGGTTTTCAGAATTGATAAAGTCATTTTGTGATTGGCTACTTGGACTGTTAAAAATTTTACATCAACTACACCTACTATTTTGCTAATGCATTTGATGCAAAATTTCAGCCAATCATATTTCTTGAAATTTGCATCAAAATCCGCATCAACCAATTTTGAATACCTCTAATAGATGATAAAGTAGTAGAAGTGCGATCCGAACATCTGACAGGTCATCACTTAAATCACGTGATCATTGACCAATAGAATTAAAAACACGAGATATATCGATCATTTTCATTTTAGGTGATACCCGTTTGGAAGGGAATATTAGTCAAGTATAATAGAAGCTCCTGTTATAATAGTTCTGCTGTAAATTAATGGGTAGACGATATGGAGTAGGGAGAAGGAACTGCCATTACTTTATAATATAAAGGGCTTAGGATCCCTTTATTTTCCCCTACTCTATGATTCTATCTTTACAGACCAGCCTTTACATTATATTTTATAATGAAAAGCCCAGACGTGATGATAATTTGATAGATCAACTCGAGAATCATTTAATTATAGGAATTACGTAAATATGTCTGCACCGTTTATGTGCAGGTTCCAGAGTTAGATAAAGGGCTAAAAAATATAAATCCGATTAACAGATTACCGAATAATCACAAACACATTTATTATGCAGCACGTGACAAATTTAAAAATATGTGAGCCCTCTTTTTTTCTTACTCAGTATGTCGGATTGATTGGATAAAAATAAATTCACTAACAAAATTCACTTTACTTTTATATATTTTAAGTCCGGCTTAATTATGGATCATAAAAGAAAAGGTTAGAAAAAACATCATTAATTCGTAATCAGTTACAGTTCGATAAGATCTCCATTGAAAAATCATTCAATAAGATTAACACGAATTGACACAAAGGTTGATCGATCTTTATTATTTATTTTGACTGCATTATCATAAATTTTTATCAATAAAAGAAAGAGTTTAAGAGAATCAAATAGTTACAATATTACTATGATTTCATTATATCAAAGAATTGGTTGTGAATATCAGAAAAAAAAAAAAAGATGAATTTTATAAAATCCTAAGTTCATCTACATCTAACATAGCACATATGACCTCATAAAAATCTACGGTAAGAGGATCGGGTATTGATGTAGGTGTTTGAAAAGTTGGTGGCATTCCATGAAAGAGACATTTTCTTTTAAGGTTAATAACATGTTGTTGAGGCTAAATAAGAATTTGATCTTTATCATCAATGGTTTCGGATGCTAATTCCTTTAAATATAAGTATATTAATTTCGTTTTCTATAAATCCACTTTTATATTAATTAAGTAATATATATCTTACCGAAACAGGTATTAATTCCCCACTCTGTCCTTTTATCTGTGCAAAAATGCCATACCTGTCAAAAAATAAAATTCGTAAAAATGATGGTAAAGAAACTAATCCAAAAAAATTATATCTTTAATTATTACTTACTTTCAATTTTGAAATAATTGTATCAGATCGTACTAATTTTACTGCAATTGCATCATGAGCTCTACCTGGATAGAGCCAATAATCTTTTACTGCGTTTAATAAATGTGCTTCAGTTTCAAAGAAGGCGACTTCTATTACAAGATTGGGCCACGGTTTAAGCTAAAATGTAATCACCGATATTAGAAATAGGTATTACGAAAAGGAGTATAGTCGGGTGGAGGTGATGAATAGAGTATATCACGTGTTATGATGTTGAGTATGGTTTTTGTCATACTGAATTGTTAGAAGATTAGGGTTAGGTTAGTATAAAAAAATATACTCAACATCATAACACGTGATATACTATACTCATTACCTTCACCTGACTCTACTCCTTTTCGTATCACTCATTAGAAATTTGATTAATAATAGAAAGGAATTAAAGCTCCACATACAGAATTAGTGCCTTCACGTCCATTTGAATTTACTTTAGGTTTGCGACGAGGTATAAAAGATCCGTCTGCTTCTTTTCCTTTATTACCGGCTTTTGTACCTTTTATTCAATAATAGGAAGCATGTTCGAGTTATCTAAAGCATTATTAATAAAAAAAATAATGTTAAATACTTACGTGCGGATCTTAAACTAATGAGCTCTTCTTGTGGATCTGCCAAACGAACTCGACCTTCGATTGCACCAATACAAATCTCATGAGGCAATAAGGGCAATTCATACACATAAACATTTCCATTTATCCATTCCCATCCATGCACATTATACATATCATTTCGCTCTGTATATTTCTCCCAATCAACATCACTTTTCAGTAAATAGGGTAACCTTATCAAGCAACAACAGATGTTAATCATTGATGCAAACGACGAAGGCAGTGGGGAAAGAAATTACTTACGAAGCTTCATCCCAGTTTGCACTCGGGTGTATATTCCCATCGGTCCACCACAAATTTCGAAACTTTGTCAATACGTCATTGGATTTAAGAGATTGGAAGGTAGCATCGCTATTATAATAATTTAAGAACAATTCTGTAGAGTTAAAGGATTTATAATTACACGACCAATTTTAATTTTATTCACCTTGTCTTGGTAACAGAGCTTACTGTTTCACTTGAAGTTGCACTATCTATCGAAGTTAAGCAGATATATATGATTATTTAAACTTAATTAGAACACTCTTAAGAGTTAACCAAAAGATATTACACATACCTTGATGCCTCATTAGAGCTTGTTTCTTTCAAGGATCTGATCGCGATTTTATTATTGATTGATTTATTTCCGCAGTAATAAATTTTGTATCACGTTTTTTGTTACCCCAAAATTTTGAAATGACCCCAGATTTGTAGACCAATCCGACCAATCATAGAGACGATCCATCAATTGATTAGTACCGGGTACTATTTAAGCAAATTTGATCCTAATTTGAATAGTATTCTGGAGGGAGGTACTTTATAAGAAAAAGGTACTGTCTGTATAAGGGATGATATTGCATTAAAGGATTATTAATTAAACATCCAGGTATTAATCAGAAATTTTACATTTTTGATTAAATAGTATTTAGTATTATTTAAAAGGGTATTTTATAATAATAATACTAATATAACTATATCAGTTTACTTATTTAGCTAATATTTATTTTCTTTAGGTTTTCAGTTTCTTTAATCTGTGAAATATATAACTTCTAAAATTATTACATATCAATAATAAATATTAACTTTATATTAGATAATATAAATAATATAATAATTTATAGAGTTCCGAATGAGTCGAGTCGAGTCGAGTTTAAAGATCAACTCTATTCGACTCGTTTTTTTCGAGTCGAGTCGAGTCAAATTTATTTTATAA